AAATTATGTTGTGAATAATCATGTTTTTACATTTTTTTTTTTATTCGAATTTCTGTTATAACGAAAAAAAAATCTGTCCCTTGGAGTTAATTGTAACGGGAACTTACTGTATATTTCACGGACGCAATCGGGCTCTTCAGTTAAAGTAGTTGATAAAACCTCGGGCGCACTCGTGCTATACGATAAAAACTGCAAATAAAATCGCGGACGTACTCGGGCTATGAAAAAGGTAAAAATTAAAAACGTGACGCATTCGGGAATACCCCCACACATCGTCTCGGTAATTTCCGTGAAAAAAAAAAAAACTATAGTTCTTTATTAGTAAATCCTGAATATAAAAATTAAATTTTTGGATCTTGAGACGTTACATTTCTTAGATCAAAATTATTATCCTATACATACATAATTTCTTAAAATTTTAATTAGATTTTTAATTTCTATCGTAACAACATAAAGGGAGTGTTTTCTTTTTAAGGCTGCTTAAAACTTGGTTAAGGGCAAAATTGGGAGAAGAAAAATTGATTGGGTTGGCTCTAATGTATATCTATAAGGATATAAATATTGACAGTGAAAATAACCTAAAAAGTATAGTTAACAGATTTTCAAAAGAAAAAAATGAAAAATTGACTTTGTATTATAAAAATAAAGTATACTATTAATTTTTAATGCTATAATATGATGTTATTTTTATATCTTTGATCGTTAAAAATTTAATTTTGCTCCTAAAGCACCTTTTGTAAAGTTACAGTTTACAAAAAATATATCCTATTTGTATGGCTATGCTATGGTCCCCTTCGTGAAAAATATTTGGAACTACTCCTGAGTTGAATCGAGAAATCGATTAGCTTTTATGTATACTGTATTAGGACTTGAAGTACGCTATGATTTCAGAGTTTATTATAAAATTCGGATTGGCTGATATTTTAGCTTGGACCATTTGAAATACGAATAGCGACAAACATAGGGACGTCTAGAATGGAAAACAGTTTGTAACGTTTGATCGATCTAGTCGGTTTCAGTTAAACAACAACATAATCGGTTATATTAATTAGTTAATTTCGGTTAATTTCCGGAAAATCTCTGACACAAAAGATTTCGGCACGGATGACAACGGAATACGTTTTAGGTTTGTGATGGAAAACGAATAACCGCTATCCCTTCGAACACGTTACGGTCAATATCGTAATGTAAGGCGGTACTTATATATTCGACAGAGTAGTTAAATCTGTATACATTATATCCAAAGCGCGAACTAGCTGCTGCGTCATTTGACAAAAGTCGGGATGTGTCCTTAGTCATCGGACAACATTGATTTTCAACACTTGTTCAATGACCTCGAGGAAAGCGTGAATTCATAAATAATGAAACGCATAATATTTGTGAGGGGTGTATGCCATAATACGAGTACTGTCAAGTTATAAATAATATGTGCAGCGTACCGTACCCAAGCCCAAACGAATAACTCAACTGGTACTTGATAACGTTAATGGTCATTTTTTTACGGGCGATTCACATCGGAGGAAAATTTGTTTTCAAAATGATGGCAAAGTGGCGAATAATCACTGCGATGTCGCACGGTGTATACACGATTCGAAGAAGGAAACTTTACGAGGTTTTGCAAATCGTTCTCCTCTCTCCCGCGGATCGTTTGCATTTATCACCTTCGTCGTACGTGTGCGACTTAACAGACGTTCGAAGAGAAACGTGCTGCGGAGTCGCTGCAAAGACACCTCGTAGCCGTATTCGGTGTTCTAGGACGAACGAGCGTGATTCGACTTGGCCGACAAGTTTCGTCGAAAGCTGCGACGGCGATTAGTCAGTGCTGTTGACCACATAATATGCGTTGTTTGTGCGCATATACGAACACGAGGTGCGCACGAATAGTCAACGTCGTGCCGTGTCCGCAAGTGCCGGCCAGAATGAAAGGTTGTTTTTAATCCGTTCGGACTTGAACGGGATCGATCGCCTCTGGTGGCATTACGCAATTGGAATAAACCACGCAGACCCATAATATTCTCGTCGCGCGAATCAAAACATGTAAATATATTAATAATGAAATTGTTATTATTGCACAGTGTTTGTGTTGACATACCGTCGTCGTCACCGCTGTTCAGTACGGTATTCCCGATGATCAGTTGTGATCCAACTTGTTTATTGTTATTATTTTAAACAACGGTCGCCTTACGAAAATATATTTTTAACCATGTACATACATATATGTCACTCAACTCATCCTAAACGACTGGAATGGTTTTTATGAAATGTTGTGCGCGCGATTAAGTTGATTTGAGAATAGTTTATATTTACGATTTGGGTCGATACATTAGCAGCAATGGAGCAATATAAATATATGTACATAGTAGTAGTAGAAAAGTGTTTAATGTACACACCGTTTTATTTGTACGAGAAAACTATTTGAAATTTACTAATTAAGTTCCTAAACTATATTTTATAAACGATAGAGGGTGACAAGTGATAAGAATTGGTCACAAAGAATTTCAGTTCCTAACAGTTTTTTTTTTTAATCTATTACAGTTCACAAGCATTACATAGTTTTAGTGGTTTTTACATTATACTTGTATAAACATAGATTTTCTCGTTAAAAAAAGAAAAGTAATAAACTTACAAGCAATGTATGACCTAATTAGAATTACCAATCCAATAATTACATTTCAAACATGAATCTCAATTCTGATTATAGGAATTAATGTTTTATTCTAGAGTATAACTGTTATTTTAGCATTTTTTAAATCCAACACGTATAATCAATTTTTATAAACAAACGTTAAGACAGTCAAACGTCGTCTGATTCTAGAATTAAAATTATTTTTTTATTTCGTAACCAATTTTTACTTATTATGCTTTTAATGTGATAAAAATTCGAATATTTTAAAGTCAAATTTAACAGGTAAATAATAAAAATATATTTTTTATAGACTAATAAATCATTTAATGTAGTCATAAACAATATTATCAAAATATACCAAGACTCAGAAATGCTAATAATTAAATTTATAGAAATTTAATAAAGACTGATCAATATTTTATGTAGTAAGTATTTTAATCAGTATGTTATTTCTTTAGTTAAAATATTCTTAGCGAAATCGTATTTTATACGCATAACGATAGTGGTATATATTCACATACTCTGAAACAATAAGATAAGTTTAAACGAATACATATTTTATAGTATTAACACGCGTTAAAAATGAAATATTTATGATCATATTTTTCTTAAATATCATAGTTAATGTTTCTAGTTGCAGTTTAATAGTTTTAAGAGTTCGAATCGATTTTTTTTTTGTTTTTCAAATTTCTAGAAATGTTTTGATATGTATATATTTTAGTTGGCGAGAATTCGGAAAATACTTTCAAGTGCAGTAATAAAATCAATCGAGGCGATAAATGTATTTTGTGCCCGTGATTGAATACGATGGGAAGCGGGTGGAGGTGGTACAAGTTGATGCTCGGTGACTTCAGCACAGACCCGGACTCTAAATACAAGCACACGGCCACTGTATGGTAATCGTGTATCTAACAGCTGTTGCACGTGTCGGGGGTTGGTTGTTCATCGGTTTAAACCGTAAATTCTCGCGAAATCCGTATGATGCTCAGCGTTTATAACAATGTACACGGGTTTGGTGTACACCTTCGGGGGGTGTACGTCAAGACGAGCTTAGCGTCATTTTATACCTGTAATTCGCGTCGGTGTGACGGACGCACACGCTTACGCAGAATAAATAATACGTTGGCGAGTCGGTAATACAACATAAATTATTATCGCCGCGGGAAAGTAACGCGCGTGATATTATAATATAAAATAAATGGGTCCATTGCTCTCCATTTAATAACCTCTGCCCCTCGGTGCCGTTCCGAACAACTTACTTTATAAAAATTAATAATATATTTGCGTTTGACCACCATAAAATGCCACTCCAAAATATCCAGCCATATTAACCCATTCATTTCCGTTCAAGGTGAAAAACACTTATCGGAAAATGCCCTCCCGGTCCACTGGCCGGTCGAAAAGACTCAGGCGCAGAGATTTATTGAATATTATATTCATTTCGTACAAATTTTTCCCTCATCCCCATTTGGTTATTTGGTTATTGAATACACAAATTGTAAATTTTTCTACTTAAAAAAAAAAAAAAAATGGATTATAGGACGAAAAAAAATCATGACATATAAACAGGGGAGCAATAAAGAGTCAAAAAAAAAAAAAATTAAAATAAATATTTATATATCTTATCGTGTGAATCATATATAAGTAAGTATAAGTATATAATTTATTTTATACATATATATATACCGTTCTGCGCACACGATAAATCGCAAAAAGCAAAAATGTAATAATAATAATAATAATCCGTAAATGTGGAAAAAATACGAGTAAATAAATAAAACAAAACGATACACTATACGCGCGCACGCGTAATAATAATAATATCACGTTGATAGGACAGGTAGGATAACTTGAACGGCGGCGGTTACTCGGGTGGCGGTGGACGGAGCATGGTCGATGGCAGACGAGTAGGGTTTTGAACGCCGCCGCCGCTACCGACGGATTAATGGTATTAGAAAATATATTATGGTAGGGATCGACCGGGGACACGACAACCGAATAAAGTCGCTTCTTGGTCACTGTCCCGGCCGAGTCTGCAAACACCACAACGACTTGCGTTCTGCCAGACACATGCTCCTCACGCACACCTACCACTGCCATCATCGTCATCACCGAAGTCCGCAGCCAAGCGACGATTTCCATTTGACACGTTCTGTTTTAAAACCATCCGATCACGACGAAGTTTACCTGCGAACACTGAACCGTCCGATCGCCAACGTTTACCTGCTGCTACACCATTCGCTGCGTGATATCGTTCCACGGGGCTCACGTAGAGTTTTTCCACCGCATTCGGCCACCATTCCTCGTAACTGCCGTCTGTTCCCAAAGATTTTCACCACGTAGATTCTGCCTCAGAAGTCTTGATCGTCTAACCTACACCACCACCGTCCAAAAATGATTTATTACTTGCAGAAAATCATTGTCGTGACCATCGCCGTGTCGTACGCCCAGGCGGAAAAAACAAAAGTCATACGTAAGTTCAACTGATGTACTGTTATTGTGTGTAATACTATTGCGCTTGGAGTTCTGGTTAGAGTGTTATCGATTTTTGCGCGATCGACAAACGTATGTTTTTTTTTTTTAATTAATTGTTTTTCATTTTGCGTCGCAAAAACCTGTTGCCGTATAAACCTAGGACGACGACATCGCGTACTAGTGAGAGTGGAAAAGCACCAAGTGGGTCATTATACTCTTCGGGTTACATAAATTATGTAATCTGTACCACCCATATGCGCAAATAGTGACATTCGAACGTAAACGAGACTGATCGTAATAAAAGTTATTTTCTCACGTTATTCGATATATCGATAAATTGGTACTGATTTTATCAATATAATATTTAATATTCGTAATTATGTCATTCGGAGTGTTTGACGTTCGTAATTCTAACATTCGTAATCACCACTAGCCTTATACGAGACAAGTAACCTCTATGTATTCGATTATAATTATTTATCATTGAATATTCTATGTTCTGCTTGTTACCGTCTGCGAGAAAGATGTTGGTAAAATGTTCTAATCGCTACGGATCATATAAAAATATATCTTATAGGGTGACCTACCCGATGTCATTCCCGTCAAAAAATTTAAATATTTTTCTACTTTTTTTTGGTAGTAAAATTCTGTTTCTATATGTCTCCAGTTATAAAATCCAGTTCAATGATCTTTAAAACTAATAAGATCAAATAGCCCATCTGATATTTCTGAAGCCAGATCATTAAATTAAATTTTATTAGGATATAATTAAAAACGAAGTTTTATCCATGAACGAAAGACGTTCATCAATTGTTTGATAATCGGATTCCAAAAAAAAAAAAAAAATTAGGGAAAACAATTATTTTGACAGTCACGATATTAACCGATTGAAAACGTTTCGTTTGGTGTAGCTTATATCTATAATAATGGTTAGTCTATTGGTAAATCGAATGCACTTTGTAAGATCCAACAGGTTTGATTTACAAGAGGTATTCACATATTCCGGTTTCGAATCGCATATCGTAGGGCTTATCGCCACTAAGCCGCTTTATGTTCTTGGCCGAACAGACACCGTCATGACATCTCCAGACGACGGCGTGGATCATTGCGTCCGCCGCTCTTTTTCGATCAGGCGTACCCGATTGGTGACCGGTCTGAATACACTTTCGTCCGAACGTCCGTCGCGGCTGTCCAACGGCGACGTGAAATTATGTTATTCGCTCCGTCGGTAGTACCTACGTACCGAGAGCCGTGCTGTTCGCACGACGATACCAACACAATAAACAGTGCAATAATATTGGATCGGACGAGAACCGGTTGGACCGACCCGATTGGAGATGTCGTTAAGGCGGGCGCCGTCGGTCACCGGCGGTGGCCGCAGGTGTTGCATCACGCGCAGCTCGACCCGACGTTGGCCAACAGCTCACCGAGAGAGTCCTCGACGTACGGGTAGGAATCGTCTCGACGGAGTGCACTTGGGTTCAGCGACAACCGTCCGCGGACGGTATACCCGGAGACTACCGCAACGTTACCGCAACGTTACCGCCCCGCGGTAATGGTTATACCGGTCGGGTACGGTTCACCGGCGAAGGCGATCCGACATAACATAATAACGTACGCGTGTATTGTAAAATAACTTGTGAAACCAGATAGGCAAAAATGCGTCCGGTGAAGAAACCCGTCGTCGGCGGTGCGTCCCGCAAAGCGTGTTTTGTCCGTTCAATATAATTGAACCGAACAAGTGTTTTCTGTCGCGCGCGCGCGTGTTCGAGTTTTATGCAATATCACGCGCGTGCCCGTCCCGATGTATTTCACGACACGCGTCGAGCGAACGACCGATACGGTGCGCGGCGATGCGAAGGCCGGCAACGAGCGCATGCGATACGCGCGTCCGTGCGCCGTCTCTAGCCGTCGCGGTTTTGCGACACGTTCGTTTATTCAGAATTTAATATTCCGCTCGTCCGTTGCGACACACCCTCGCGCCGTCGTCGCGTTCGAAAGTCCGGCACGGCAACGCCGCGGTCGGGACGCGCGCGAAGAAATCTCAACTCGAACCGTTTGTTTGTTCGGAATCGAAACGATTGCGTTGTTGAAATGCGCACGGTGAAACACCGTAACATGTATAATAAGTGCATGCCTTCGTAGACAAACCGTTAACCGGTGGGTAAAATGTTTTTTTGTTGCGTTACAGTTCTTACGACGCCAACGTTCGTCTAAACCAGGGATGGTGAATCCATGGCCCGCGAAAAGATTTTGTGGGCACGCGAACGTTATTACTATTATATATTATATAGTATATAATATCATAGGACCTATAACATAATATAATATAAATAATTAACAAAGCAATATTATTACTATTTTAATTATTATGTATCTAAACTAACCTTTTTATACTAATATATTAATTATACAATCAAATTATAATATAACAAAATATAATATTTTTAATATTTTTTTCATGGCGCCTCTATAAAAAAAAGGTAATTTTGTGTTCAAAAGGTTTGCCACCCCTGGTTTAATCCCTAGCTGATGTGTATTTGTTGGCATCGAATCGAACGCAATTCGTTTCATGAGTTTCAAATATAAGCAATGAGTATAATTTTTTTCTGATCAAACCATCACATTTCAATAACTCGATGGTAAAAAAACACGAAACAATTAAATCTTTACTCAATAATAATTAATGAGGCAACTTTTTTCTTTTTTTTTTTTAATAAATACAAGTAATTTTTTAACATCATAGTTCATTGTATACGAACGAACAAATATTTTTACTTCCATTTCATTGAAATAATATACACAAAATCATTACTATTATAAATATTTGTTAATCGTTAATGATATTATATTTTTAAACATTTCGTACGTGATTTCATCGTAGCCATGAATATTACTATCTTATTCATGCAGTTCAAATAAAAACATAAAGTTGTATGGGCACGCGTAATTATTCAAATCATGTTAAATTACTATCACATTTATCCCTTGTCGACTTGACCAACTATTATATTTTTTAATAAATTATGCATTCAATTAGGTTATATTGAATTAATACGAGATTAATGGCTTGTAAAATATTATATTCTTGTTTTATGTCAATGCCCGTTGTGTCACCGATATAGTGTTGTTATACGTACATTGTAATACCTATGCTGTATGCAATCACAGAACGTATAATTTTCAAATTATTAATTTATACCAGTTATGATTCATTATTATAAAAATGCATAGCAATTTTTAAAGATTTAATTGTACGTTGATCTAAATGAAATTATGATGAGATAATTATTGCTTCCACGCGTAAAATAACGAAAACATTTTAAATCAAACGAGAACGCTGTATAGTGTTCCGTGCATATTTCTGTCACCTAACACTTGGGGATGTATAAAGTGTTTGAGAAATAATGTTCCAATGAATAAAACCACAACAATAATATTATTTTTGTTAAAAACATAATACAATGTTATGTTGACATAATGTTTTGTAATTAAAGTTTGTTTAAAATATGCGTTGCGTAAATATTCTAAGCTATGTCGACTGTTTTGTACGAATACATACGGCCAGTCATCGATCATTCAATCGAACGTTTTATGAATGCATAAAAAAAAAAAAATATCGTCAATCAAACGAATTAAATTTAGGAAATAATAATTGTCCTTATGATTTTAACGCACGTCAACGTTTTTCAGCGCCATACATAAAACAATGTGTACGAAACGATCCGAAGCTGAACGAATGTCTCGCCGCGGAAATCAATCATTTGAGGCCGTATTTGAAAGAAGGTAAGTCGGTTGTGCATTTTTTTATGTTATTCCTATTCATTCCACTAATATGTTTCCGTGATATTATAAAAAAAAAAAAAAAAAAAATTATACAATTTAAACTGATAAAAATAAAAACTTGACATAGTATATTTTACCACGTGACATGAACGATGATACTATATATATAATGTCGTACAACTACGTGTGCTGTTTTCGTGATGATCGTTGCCGTACATTAGTATTTTATTATTACGGCGGATCGTAGAAAATCGGCCGCTGCTGCCGCAATAGGCCCTGGAGACGATACAGGTCATCCACTCTTGTTACGATTGTACCAGCGTAGTTTGTCGTTAGTGGTACCTGCCATTATTATGGTGTAACACGAGAAATGCGGTCAATGTCACAGCCGCTACTGTTGCTATCCTATCAGGCGCTACTGCAGAGAGCTGTTATTTTGTTTATGCGAGAATAAGATCTTTTTCTATTTCAACGAGGGGAAAAAAAAGGATTGTTCATTTAACGATTACTTAAAAATTAAAATTATTCTCTTAAACTGAACGATAATAATTTTATTGAAAACTACTATATATACTTGGCAGACGGAATAATTAAATACTCAGATAAAATTATTATTGTGTTAATATTTTTATCACGATGAACGCAGTTCACCGTCAGTGTGAAAACTTTATGAAAACTGTATGAAAACAGTATTTAGTTTAAGACCATTTATCCGCATAAATTAAAACAAACGAAATATTTCGGTTTAAATTTTGAAATAATATAATATATTATGGTTATAAAACGATTATAAATACGTATATAACGAAATATCGTTTTTGATGATTGTAGAATAATATATATTAATTAGGTAGAAATCTGTACCGTCATAAAAAAAAAAAATTATTTTCACAGAGTATCACAATGAAAACATTCATTAATTATATTTAGTCTATAATTTATTAGATGGCATTGAAAATAATATAATTTTTAATTTAGGAATTGATGAAATTGAACTACCACCCGTGGAACCTTTCAGAATGGATTCATTGAGTTTAGGTATTACCGGTGGATCTAATGGATACAAGATTACATTGAGAGATATTGATTTGTATGGAGCTAGTAATTTCTCCATTCAAAAAGTATTGTAAGTATCAATAAACATTTGGTGCGTTGTTTAATCGATGTTTTTCTAGATATCTAATGAATAGCATTACAATTAATCAATTTTTTTATTTTTATGCGTGATGTGTATCACACCATGTAATATAATACTAATGAAAATTTGAAAGAAATGGAAGAAAAGGAACCCTTGAACACAGTTAATTTAAACTGTATTAGCCCTGAAGTTCTACCTGAAATACATAGAACAAATGACTATTTTTGGTTAAGATTATATTATGTCCTTTTTGGCGTGACCATGATTTTTTTATTTATAAAATCAATATGTCAAGTTCAATAATTCAATAATAACTATTAATTTTTTTTTTTTTTTATTACAATTTTATATCATCATTAAATAATAGTTTTTTGCATTACTTTATTTCAATGTTGATTTATATTTTTGCAATCAATTATTTATTTTTTATTTATCATAATATAATGTTTAATAATATTTTAACAATCTTACACTCTAATTTTGAATTCGAAGAATGATATGGAATAAATTATTGATAACATTAATTTAAATTAAATCAAATTAAACAATTTATTAGGATTATTATGTAAAATATTGATGGAAAATATAAATATATTAATATAAATGTTCAAAGAAACATAAAATTATATGTTTAATCGGAAAATAATGTTCACTTTTTATTGTAATTCTCAATTACGCCCATATTTATGCTATATTATAGATAATAATTTATGCTGATATTTAATTTTGAGTGAAACGAGAAATATGTTGGTCTTACCATATATGTATTTTTTTTTTTGTTTACATAATTTCAATTAGAAGGATTACTCTGAATATCTGAGTCATAAGGGAGTTATTATAGGAAATATTATTTGGTTAGTACTCCAAAAAGAATAATATTACGAATTTCTTAAGATCTTTTTTTGCGAAAAGTTATATATATATATATATATATATAAAAAAAAATGGTTACATTAACAACATATTAGTTTTTGATTTACATAAAAAAAAAAAAAATGTATAAACTTTAAATTTTCACTGAATGATTTATCGATCAGAGTAGATAGAAATATTTTTAAAATATTTTTTGAGATTTTTACGAGATGGTCGAAAATATCATGTTTTCATAGCTTTTTTTTCCAAATATGCCAATAAAATAATTTAATTTTGACAATAAGTCTTGAAAATTTAATACCTAACCTAACCTAGTGAAATACCAAATTGAGTTTAAAGGGCGTTTGAATACACAATTTTGACAAAACGACAATAATCCTGAAAATTCGCTAAATTGCTGTAGTTAAAAATTTAAAAAATTTTCATTGCTTTAAATATGAAAAGTAAATTCATGGTTTTTCATAAGACTTTTTTTATCTACAGAAAAAAAAAATACTGGAATCACAAAAAATATTTTATGTAGTAGAAAAAAAAAAATTAATCAGCGAATTTTAATTATATGATATTAGTTTTTTTTACTGATATTCTATAAAATATATTATTTGTTGCGACTTGAAAGATTTGCTGATTACAAATATCAATATTTTAAGCACATTTTATAGTTTTGAAATTTTTTTTATGAAATTTGTGCTGTTTATAGTCATTTGAAATTTTTGATTTTAACTGATTAAAGTTTGATAACTCGGAAATGAGAGACACAATAGAATTTTAATGTTATTTACATGCTTATATAGATGTCTTTTTCTCTTTTGGAAAAAGTTATAACATTAAATTCCAACCTATCTTCAAACATTTGTTTTTACTATTAAATCAACCATCTTTGGAAATATAAATTGAGCTGATCTTTTATTCATGATTCAATTTTTTAAAGCATTGGTTTTAAATTTAAAAACCAAATAAATCACCCGTTTCGGTGTTATATTAAATTTTAGTATTACCCGACATATAAATTATAATACAGAATTTTACCATTTTTTTAAAATAATTCCCATACATCTGAACACTATATTACTATTTATAAATGTATCGATTTTAAAAATTTATTATTAACAACAATAAATATAAATTTACATTTAATCTAAATTTTTAATTTCAAAATTAGTCTAAATATTTGATTATTTATTTTAAGGCGTAATCTTATGCAATTCTTCAACACACACGCCGTTAAAGAAAAATCAACTATTTTGTTATAGTAGTTCAGGCGCAATTTGAATGGTTAACAAAATTGTATAATAATTAATTATACATTTCAATTATTTTTTATAGTAATAATAATCTTTATATCTTGAAAATAATTATTTATGTATATCATCAAAACATGGTTGTAATATTACAGTAGTCATATAAACCTTAAGTATACGTTTTTCCCATTTTTTTTTATGTTGAATTACTTTATATTAATTTGTATCTTGTTTTATTGTCAGCAAATAACGTATAACAGTTATTTTACATATTTTTTTACCGTACTCTATCGAGTGTTTTAGTTCGAGATACAACAGCTAGTACTAATAGTATCTAATGCAATATTAAGATCGTATGAAAAAACCAAAACAATTTTAGAATTTAATGTATTGATTATATTTGAATAAAGGTTGCGTCCAAATGCACCGTTTGAAGGTAAAGTCAGAATTCCAAAAATGACTATGGATGCCAAATATGCCAGTACAGGAGTGTTGTTAGTCCTGCCTGCAAACGGAAACGGAACTTTCCATGCAGACTTAGGTTTGAACTTTTAACTTATATTATTTTTCTTGTTTATATATTATCATTTATTATATTACCCGACAGTTATTGGTATATTATTTTAACCGATAAAAGTTGATAATTTTATACTAATTACTTTATATCATTGATTATATTATTATTATTATTATTATTATTATTATTAGTATTGAATTTAACAATTATTCTGAACTTCAAGATCAACACAAAATTACAAATTTTCTGAAAATTTATATTACATAAAAAATTCAAATTGGATTTTAATGGTAAAAATGATATACTTAAAAAAATAGGGTAATTTATTCATTATATACAAATGAGTATACTAGATAAGTACTTAATAATAATGCAATACAATTTATTCAAAAATAAATAAATTTGATATCGCAAACACATATTATAGCTTATACCTAGGTACCTACTATTTTTTTGCGAATTAATACATTTGTATTTTTCTCAAAAGGTTTATTGTACAAATTTGTATTTTATTTTTTGTATTTTATCTTATGTTTTAATTATTTGATTAACTGTTTATTGAAATAAGATTTTTTCCGAAAGTGATATTATTTCTTTCATAATTTCCTCTTAATTTCATAAATATATATATTATTGCTCTTTAAATATTAATAAGATAAATGTTGTAATTTTAGGTGATGTTACCGCTACAGCCAAAGGCTTTGTGTCTAGTTATCTGAAAGATTCTGAAAAATACTACAACTTGGACTTTTTGGAAGTAGATTTAGTCATCAAAAAAGCTTACATGGTTGTCAGCAAAGTCAATAACAATAGAATAATTGGTGAACACAAATATTATATTTATATTTAAAAGTGTATAGGGATATTATATTATTTTATATATATTTACCAAATTTGTCTATTCGTTTTAGTCGAAGCCACAAACTTATTCTTGCGTGAAAATGGTCAAGAAGTATTACAAGTTATGATGCCCCAACTCCGAACCAAATTAGCTGCTATTTTTAAGAGGATAGTCAACCAGCTATTGACTCACGTACCTGCAGACACCTTCTTCAGTAACTAAATTTACTGCCATTGTAAACGAGATTCAAATACGAAAAAATTGTTTTTTTTTTCACTTTCTTATGTAGTTAAGGTTTTAGATTATACTTTTATTGTTCATTATTATATGTATTATTACTTTTTTTTTACTGATTTGCGTTTAATTGTAATATAATATTATCAAGCAAAAATATTTGTCGCCGAAATTCTGTTACCTAAATAAAACAAAGAGGCTACTTTGACAAATAGTGAATAAAAATATCGATGACATGCAGACACACGTAAAAATAGTTAAAAATTGTATGCTTATTTGAATAAAAAACAAAAATAGTGTCATTTACAAATAATTATTATTTCGCAATATGTATACAATTTAATACGCGCCAAGTTATTGGAAAACTAAATAAAATTTGTTTGTGTCACTGCGGACCAGGCACGTTTCGCATAAAAAAATATTTTGGGTTGTACATTTTTATACTTATATAACATAAATACCACTTTTACTCTATAAAAATAAGTTTAATAATTTTCCTCAATTTTGAGGGGTGAGGGGGTTGAACATCTAAAACTCTCCCTTGTATACGTGCATGCTATAAACTGTGACTTGTAAAATAAAATCGATTTATCCCTACAAAAATATCGTTTGCAAACTTATTTGTACGTAAAATTCGAAAGTAAAATAGTGGTCTTTTGGTTTTTTCCTCGGGCCAATAGCGTGTAATTTGTTAAAAATGAATATTGAAAATCTATCGACAGTATGGTATAAGCTGCTGAAGAACGTGCACACGTTTGTCACACGATGTTTAATGTTGTTATTAATTTAAAATTGTTTTGTGTATATTGACATTTACGAGCATTATTGCTGACTTACCAGTGATATGGGATTATACTAGGAATATATGTCGTATGAATCATTTATTCGTATTTATCTTGTTTTAAATTCAAACATTTACATTCAGTGATGTTTAATACACCCGTGCTTATATTATTATGATTGACTCATTTCTTCAAATTATCTTACTGCGTTTTATTGTTTAAATTCTTATCTTTAGTATTAGTATTTTTTTAATTTTTTTTTACTGAAAATTATTCCAGTTACCAATTATTAATGTGAATTATAAGGTTAGAATTAATTTTTTTACATTATTTGATGTGTACCGCCACTATTAGTTTTAAATCACAATATGTAGCATGAGAAATGTTTTGGTCTTACTATACGCATTTTTTCCTTACATCGGTTAATTTAATTTTATAGTAGAACTATGAATAGAAATTTCTCCCATAATATAAAAGTGTGCATCAATAGAGAAATCTATAAAACGTTTTGAAGAAATTACTGACCCAAAAATTGTAACAGATTTCCATTAAACGATATTAGTAATTTAGTTAAAGCCGTTTGGCGTAAATATAAATATAAATATATTTCATTTAAAGTACAAAATAATTTAATGAAGTTTGTTCTGTTTATAGGTTGAAATTGTTGATGTATTTTTTTTTTTGGTGAATGTAAAACATAAAAAATTCAACCGACCTTATCCTTCTACTATATCAACCATCTTTGAAAATATAAACTGACCTCCCTCTCCGAATTTTATTACATAGTATCATTTCTTCGAGAACAATGGCTTATTAGCTTTAAATTTTAAAGACCCATACAGTACCTATTGTAATTCGTCCATCCCTGTATTTCACTCGACCTGGTAGTCTCGTTCTTTTTTATGTTTTATCTTCCAACAATCCATCGTACCTCGAAATAATTTAAAACTATCTTAATGGATTCTGGAACTCGAATGGTTTTTGTTAAAACTCTACAACGATATTACGCTTGACATTTCTGCAGTTGAACTTAATCGTCAGAAATGCGACAACCGAAATGATTGCAAAAGCAGAATAGTAGCTAGAACATGTTTCCGGTGCGCAGAATAAATAAATAAAACGTTTGGCCATTGCGAAAACAATAATTAAGGTATTGATCAAACGATAACGGTAAAACTGAACGATGATAATAAGATATTACTAATTAAAAGAAAAAAAAAACCGTAATGTCTAAAAAAAAAAAAATCGACGTCACTCTAGCGTTTCTCACAACATCTCTGTCGTCCGGGGCGGAGAAAATCAAAATCAAAAATAGGCCAGTTTCGCATCGACGTCTCAAACGATTCCGAACGACAGCGAGTTTTCGGGTTATCGCGTTCAGCGGTCATCGAACCGGGAAATCGGAACACGGTTACCGGCGGCACGCGGACCGAACCAACGCAGTCATCTCCCGGGCGAGTCGCCGCTAAGTTTCGGGCGCCGCCGGATGCGTCCCGGACGGGACGGTCCGCGAGACTGACGGTGATCCGCGGACGGACACGACTCCGACGACGGCACAGTGGCGGCCCGACGGTTTTCGGGGCCCGTTGCAGAATTCCGCAGTGCTCCATATTGATTTATTAAATGTTTATAGAAATCTATGTTTGTTCACGTTATTATATAACTAAATACACACACACACACACACATATATATATATATATATATACTGTAACTATATTTCGAACTGTCGTCGACGATAAACAATTGTACAAGTGCATGCGAGTGCAATACTTCAAAGCTATGCGTGATTATTGGTACCGTCTCGTAAGAAATTATAATTTTCGTCGATAACAACCCGGGTTGCGATTTGCGTGCTGGGACTAAATTATTTTCATTTATAGATAAAGTGATATTCGTAATACATAATTTGCGGGGCCCGGTGCGATTGCCCCACTTTAGGGCCGACTCCGACGACGGAACGACCGCGTGCTCCGAGTGTGCGCGAGCACTCGGGCCCGGCAAGACAAACGTACGTGCGTAAACGTGGCGCACGACGGGGTGGATGGTGGTGGGACGGGGCCGATTGTTGCCGGCTGGATTTGATTCTCGATCGTGACAATAACGGTGGAAGACCGCTCTGCTCGGCCGACGCGATGAATTCCGGCGGTTCACGTAACGGTATTATCGAGGGCAATCAACTCACGCGCACTCACTGCGTACAACAGACGCCTGAGGTACAAAAAGAAAAAAAGAAAATAAAATAGAAAAATAAAAAAATACAAAATCATAAATTTAATGGTGCAAGGAATCGATTTGTTTTCCGGTGCGCACGGTGTATGCGACGCAGTTGAGTGGGGCGTTCGGTGGACAGCCACCTTTCCTTGGGATTTGGATTTTTTAAATTTAGTACATCGTTGACTCAACCACGTCTTTCTGCAAATTTTATACAATTATTATAAGATAAATTGTGTAAGCCAATACATTTATTATAAATTTTTTTTAAATGCATTTCTGTTGAAGTGTGTTAATATTGTTAATATTAAACTATTATTATACATTTATACCTTTAATCTATACGTATATTTTTTATTATATATGTATAATGTATTTATATATATATATGCTATGGAATGGGGGAGGGTTGTCTTTATATTCGCCCCCCTCTCCTTGAACCTCATGCATAACCACCACTGGTGTGATGTGAGACGAGCCGCGTTATTACCATATGATATTGTACGATTTAATTGATTTTTGAAAATAATAATAATAATCGATCCTAATCATCGCAACATTACCGCGCGACCACTGTTGCACTACTAACTACCCGTGTTGTCAGTGGCGGACTGAAGGGGTTAAGTTTGACGCAGCTGCGTCAACTTTTTATTGGGAATGTTACCACCCAGCACTCTGTGTTAGTGGTGATGGCGTGGAATTACATGCTAACTTTTTATAAGTAAATAATGTATACTAGACTTTTACAGTATATTCTACTAATTTGGTATTGACGGTATGTATTGTAAATTTTAATATATTAATTATTATAACCTAAACAGGACCTAATACATAATTGTAGAAAGTATAATATTATTTGTATCATAAAACGAGTAAATTTGGAAACTGAGAGGTGGAGGACAGCCCTATGGATTTGTGAGGTTTGACATTAGGTTCAAGGCCGAACCTGTGGGGGTTCTACCCTCCTCCCACCAGAAATTGTCTAGCATTTTACACAAACTTAGAAATTTAACATCAGTTTTTTTAATTTAATACCTATTTTAATTTTTTAAAGTATCCCCCCCCACTCTCCGAAAATTTTTTCTGGGTACAGCCTTAATAAGGAGATGGTGATGTATATTTAAATATGAAATTATTTCATTTAAAATTTAAGTTCAGTCCGCCACTGCGTGTTGGTCATACGGATTTATTAGAAAGCGCGTTGAGTCTTCTTGAGCGCGTCCTCCCACCGCATCACATTGTTGTTCCATTAGCCCCGTAAACGCGTGTCATATTTAATTTTTAATTTTTTCACCCATTACGTTCACGTACTCATGCGTTATCGAAACGTTACTTTTAAATAGTTTTCTATTTTGGACGCACTATTTTCTGATTACTTTACCAATGCAGTACGTAATACGACTATAATCGATGTGCGATTATGAGGTGATACCAGTGTTCGGAACGTTTACTTAGAAAATGAACTCGTTCACGTCCTTGTTCAGGGCATAAAAAAAAACTCGTTCATTTGGCAGTTAATTTCAATTTTTTAATTTTATATTTATGAATCACCAACCTGCATTCTGTGTAGATGGGACCTTTAATAAATGTATTAGGTATATTTTAATTTATGTTTAAAACCTATACTTAAAAATATTATAATCAATATTTATTATTATATACATATATTTTCAAAATGGTAAATAAATTTGAATGCCCCAAAAATCATTCAAATTAATTTCAAATATAAACGTTGATGAACCACGTAAACGTGAATTTCAGGTTCTATTTGAAAAAAGCGAATTATGTTTTCGTGTCGTTCACTAAATATGAACGCTCGTTCACGAATAACGTTCTTTCTAAACACTAGTTGAACGGTCCAAAGAGAAGTACATATGAGGATGATATTTGATGTTCGACATCATAGTAACTTTAGATCAGTTAATCGAAGAACGCTTTCTAAGTTATAATCCGTTAATTTGAAGTCAAAAATATATTACGGTTGGATTTGAGAAAAGCAACTACATTTTTTGAAAAATAAAGCTATTATTTTTATTTTTTTTGTATTTTTTTTTCAGTGAGTTCAGCGAATTAAATCAGTAATACTCTGTAATTTATTTTCAAATACCAGTTTTTATTA